ATGAAATTCAAAACAAACAAACAATCTACTTAAATAATTTAGCATAGAACATTTGAAAAACTTTTTCAGTTTTTAATTCAGTATCTGTATATAAAGCCTCGTTAGTAATTACTTTTCAAATCCTTTTTTTTTTCTTTTTTCAAAATACTTATAAGTGTAGCACGATCAAAACCACACTTAGTCTTCATGTTGGTGCATTTGGTACTTTACTGTCTTAGCATAGCACCTCTTTTGTCATATTACATCCTTCCTGGCTGTTGATGTGCAGTTTTGTACATGTCACCTAACACATATCTTAAGAACCCCATATATTTTTGTGGATATCATGGGATGTCTGCTCTGTGGGAGCATCATTCATCATGTCTACAAGGATAAAGACTTCTTACTTGGAACAATAGCATGATCAGTGAATACCCTGTTAATATCTGCTCAGTTGTGGGATATGCCATCATGATGTATGATAAGCACTTGTCTCAATTAGTTCATTGAGGATTAACAAACGTAATAGGCATATGCTTGACAGTCTCTAATACTCATTGTACTAAACTGTCAGACTCAGGGTGATAAGAATAAATGTGGATCTTCACCATTCCTAACACTTTACACGACTCAGAATACAGTTGGCTGTTAAAGTAAGTAGTTCATGTAAGAACCTCAGGTGTTTCTAACCCAGTTATTAAGTGATTCACAATGCATCACCCACAGACTGTGATGACATATCGACCAATGGGAAAGCCTTAGCTACAGGTATAAAGAGGTGACCTCGTTTCATCTCTGGAAGTGGAGCAGGAACATCCAGAGCTATTCTTTGTAGTGGAGAGCCAAAACTTCTTTCTCTGAGTTTATTCTGTTTGAATAAATTATTTCTCTGGGTAGCACAAACTACAATGTTAACACCAGCATTGAACATCTTGATTCGAATGCAACTATTAAGACCACCATTTAATGTTAGCAAAAGTATGGGTAATACCTATGTCTCTCCAGTCTTTGTGTTATCCAAAGTTTTTATAATTTCATGCCTCAAAGTACTGCAGATGACTAGCTGTATCATAGGTGAGAAACATGGCTTGATGGTTGATAAGAATGGTAAAACACTTCTTTCTACATTCACAACTGGTGGACAAGTGACATAGGTTGTGAGTCCATGCTACATTCCTCAATTTGAATTTATCATGCTTTACCTTGCTATGCAGAAAAGAACATGCATGCTAGATCTGGGTTCTTCAGTTGCTCTTTCCAGAGCGTCTTAACCATCTTGCTATGGGTTGGTCAAAGTGTGCATCTCACGACCCTTTGCATTCAAAATTTAATTAAATCACTTTATTGTTAATGTGTATAAATAAACTTGGCATCAAAACGTAAATAATAAATCAAATTTTCATATTATACAAGTATTAAGTTCTTAATTTTATAAGGAAATATTTGAATTAATCCTCAATGTTCCCTAGTAAAAGAATCGTGACATTTTTTCTCTAGTTATTCTCCTTCTCTAATTTACTAATCACCCCTCCTTGAACTATGAAATTTAAAGTAGATTATTCATTATTATATAGATATTACTAAGAAAAAGACAAATTTTTATCGCCTTCAAACTTATTTGTATACAGAGTCAAACTAGAAAATCAGACCCACTTGCTATGTCACATCCTCTCTTTCACAAATTGCCAATAATTCTCTGACATTTTACATAATTTATAATCAAGATGAAGGCAAAGTTTCAATTTGTCGAATGAGGTATTATATTAAGCTGTTTTCATTAAACACTATTGTCTATTTCATATTAGGTTTGAAAGCTTATTTCTTAGTGCTCAGATCGAGGAGCTAATAGAATTATTTTAAGCCACTCTTGTCTTAGGAAGCCAGTTAAATTATAATGGTTATAAAGCATTGTTTGATTTGTGTGTGTTATTAGTCTGTGTTCTTGGGTGTATTATGTCAATATATAAAAATTATTTAGTGTACTAGTACTATCATCAGAAAAAATAGGCTTAAATTTCATCAGCAAGAAGCCAAAGTGCTATATTTTTGTTTTTCATGTATATTTTTATTCATTGTTATAAAAGTAACTGAAATGTAAAAATTAGAAACTTACTAAGTTAGATTGGGTAAGATAATGAATAGTCATAAACATTTTTCATGATATATGCTCATGAACTCGTGCGTTACGTCTCACGATTTAAAAGGCAATAAAACTAAGTAGGAACAATTGTAGTTTTATGTTACAATCTGCTATCATTCTACAAAGAAAAAAAATGGTATTTGGATTTAGCTGGTTACAAGGTTGGTCAAATTAACCGATTCCACATACAGTTACGATACAGAAAATAACAGATAAAATATAAAGTATTATTGGATATTGTGAGATAAAAAATGAAATTTTAAACTTAATTTTATATTTATTTAAAGTGTTTTAGAGGTTATACAAATGAAATTTGAAAACTTTCGGATGAAGAAAAGTATTTTTAATCTTAACATGAAAATCCAGTTTGCACTCAGAGCAGTTGATACACTGACTTCACATATTCATGGACAAATCTCTAGTAAAAATACTTAATTAAGAACGTCTGATTTTTCTATGTACAAAAGATTTATAATATTTACTGAAAGCTTGCCAAACGAGGAAACTATGGAAACTGATAGTTAAAAAGTTGGTCACATCAATAGACCCCCCAGTGGAAATGGCCAGGTAGTTAGGGTGCTAAACTCGCGGGTTCGAACCCCCATCCCACCAAACATGCTCGCCCTTTCAGCCGTGAGAGTGTTATAATGTCGTGATCAATCCTACTATTCGTTGGTAAAAAGAGTAGCCCAAGAGATGGTGGTGGGTGGTGATGACTAGCTGCCTTTCCTTTTGTCTTTTACTGCTAAATTGGGGATGGGTAGTCCAGATATCCCTTGTGTAACTATGTGCGAGATTCAAAACAAACCCAATGGAAATAATTAAGTGTCCACTTAACTCCCACACAGGGGCTGTACATTCAATGAACAAACAGGGTCTCACCATACAATCACTTGGTATTTCTGTGTTGTGGGCACTGTTGATACTCTAAGACCAAGCCATATTCCTGTAATGTTGTTATCTATTGTTGTATTATACCTTAAAGATTTTTAAAGTATATTTTCACAGTGCCTAGTCCAATTAAATAGTGAACTTTCTACCATACACGTAGTGTTGATAGTTTATGGAGACGACTACTGCAAACACTTCTTACTTTGTCATACAGTATCTGCATTCAGGAACGGTAAGTGTATTATTTGCATTCACGATTACATGTTCTGCTCTATCCTGCATCTGTGATAACACTGCTCCTATTCCACAGGATTGGTATGTAATAAGAACTTGCACTCCTGCTGTGGATACACCAACACTGGAGCTTCTACTAAAGCACACTCCAGGGACTGGAATTCTTGCTCACCTTTCTTATTCCATGATGTAACCCAAGGCAACTGTGAACTTTTTTGCTTGGTTTCAAGTTGAGGCTAATCTCACACCATTGCTATTTTAGTAGAATCCACGGATATTTCATCTTTACCCACAATTTGAAT